GTTGACAATGAAAATTGACGTAAAGAGTGCGTTAAGTTACCCACGTGACCAAAGAGAAACATGGCCGATTGGTGATTTTTTTATTAACAACATTTGCGTTAATATAACTTAGATTAAATTTCATAAAATAAACATTATAATATTTACGTACACGGAGTAAAAAAAACTGGATGAAAATATTTTTTTTTTTTTACGAAAAACCCATACTACCACAATTTGAAGCAATCTTGATTACGCAACGTGTATCGCGGTAACTATACAGCCATTTTGTTTTGTCGAGTATTACAAGCTTTCTATTCGACTGGTCGTCTTCGTTTAGTAGGATGTTACCGCTGCGCGCAGGTGGGCGTGGTTTAACAAAGAACAACCCCTAGAATACGGCTTTTGTATAGTTGTAAACATGTGCTTGTGCACAGACTTTGGGCGATCTTACGTCATCGCAGCTTTCGCAGCCAGTTTAGAGATGTTGGCTTCCTCTCCGATGACGATGGACTGAGCAACAGCACAAATATATCAAACTTCTTGAAATTTGACTGTTTTGTACGATCGCCGACCGCCGCAGTATATTCCAACATTGAATCGATAATTAATAGATACTCTAAACAAAGTCATATTACCATTGACAACTATGGCTTGGCTAGGTCTAGCTTGCCTAGCCTGGCTACCAACGAATCAAGGCACTCGCGAGAAATTAGTACTGTGGCTAAATCAAATTTTGCCTTGGGTGTCCTTTTATACTTGAAAGTTTGGCCTTGGTGCCTTTCCATTTGGCCTTGGTGCCTTTCAAAATCATGTCTCACCGGAGGCCATTTGGCCTTGCCCATAAAATCCCCAAATTCGAGGCCTGATTATTATTAAGTATAAAGAAAAATATGAACTGTAGCCTCATGGTGCAGGCCTAGCCTGCGATAGTGAGCGCGTAGATCATCACAAAACTTCAACTTACTACTTACCGTTCAACTTGATTGATTTCCGATCGCGGTACAAAGCGTTTTTTACCTTTACTTCGTATTGTACTTTACTACCGTATAATTTTGATCCACAATAAAGGCTATGTCCCTTTCTATTTTTTTATATAAGAAAAAAAAAGTATATAAAAATAAAATAATTAAGAAAACAAAAAAGTGTAATTATTGCGTCGTGTTAAAGAATGTATATGTATGTGTATGTATATGTGTATGTATGGGCCTGTGTATATGTATGGGTGTATATATATATATATATATAT